GCCTCTACAGACCTATGGTAGCTGGGATAGGCTCCAGCTCCACTGCGTCCAGATAGGGATAAGCGCAAGAGGACGAATGGATGGATGAATGGGTTTATGTGAAATATATTTGTTGTTGTTTTACTAAAATATTTCTATCTGATCAGATGAAGCATAAAACCCCTTATTTGTTGTCAGCATAATTACTGGTAAAATGTCTTTCTCAAAACCATATTAAGACATAAATATAATTTAGAGTTATACTCTGACAGCTGAAACACCTTTAAAGTACCTGCAGAGCAGGTGAGACGAGAAAAGCCCCTGAGAATTAAATGTGCACTTTTCCTACTGCTGTGTGGGAGTGTAAACACCAAGATGCGATTCTTGAAAACTGAAACTGAAACAAAAACGGGCCGTGACAGAGCGGCACAAACGAGTGTTTGACGGGCTGAAAGTTCTCGTGTTAGTGTAGAATTGCAGATAAAATGGATGAATATCAGTATCCACTGTTTTTTGAAGCCACTGACTTTACAGACAGAGAGAAGGAGAAAGTGAGGAGATACTTTCAGAAAAGTCGAGACTCCGGGGGTGGCGACTGCGGAAATCTTGAAAAACTCGGAGGAAGCGTTTATAAAATCTGTTTCAAGGAAAAAGAGGGTAGGATAGTCGGTTATTTGTAAAATAATTTTTAGATTTGTGTTTAAATTCAGGCTGTTTCAGTGACTCTGTCTATGGCTGTTTACAGATCAAGACAGAGTTTTGCAGAGGAAGTTTCACACCATCACTCTTCCGAGTGGAGAAGCGCGGCTGACCGTGAGCCGGACAAGTTCACCACAGACCTCTGACCAGCCATCAACAAGCCAATCACTGGTACAGTTTACTGCACTTTCAAACATGACTTTTGGTTACAGTAAAAACTGAGCGCCAGAATAATGTGGCCAAATCAGTTTAAGAGGAGTGAGTTAACCTCCAGGGGAAGTTGGACAGCTGAGGACAATATTGACAAAAAACAGATGATTATAAAATATTTCAAAGACACTGTAAGTACTGCAAAGAATACATTTTAAATACCAAAAATCTCTCTTTTGAAAGATATATGATCATTAAATTTGACGTCAGGGACAAATATAGAGAACGTGTTTGCTCCACTTTTGCTGGGCCCTCTTTTTTATAGCTTTCATTTCATTGTGCCTCAGTGTTTTCAGTGGCTGACAGTTCTCAGGTTTCTTTCACTTCTGAGTCTTGCTGTTAATACAGAGTGTAAATATACAGTGTAGTTTAGCAGTGTTTAAATAAGAAAGCCTTCCTTGAAAAATACATCATGTGGACGGCACAGCGTGCAGATACAGATGCAAATACTTCACATACTATTTTGCATTAATGCCTTTGTAGACAAGGAAGCAATGCCATGTTACAGGGAGTGCAGAATTATTAGGCAAGTTGTATTTTTGAGGAATAATTTTATTATTGAACAACAACCATGTTCTCAATGAACCCAAAAAACTCATTAATATCAAAGCTGAATGTTTTTGGAAGTAGTTTTTAGTTTGTTTTTAGTTTTAGCTATTTTAGGGGGATATCTGTGTGTGCAGGTGACTATTACTGTGCATAATTATTAGGCAACTTAACAAAAAACAAATATATACCCATTTCAATTATTTATTTTTACCAGTGAAACCAATATAACATCTCCACATTCACAAATATACATTTCTGACATTCAAAAACAAAACAAAAACAAATCAGCGACCAATATAGCCACCTTTCTTTGCAAGGACACTCAAAAGCCTGCCATCCATGGATTCTGTCAGTGTTTTGATCTGTTCACCATCAACATTGCGTGCAGCAGCAACCACAGCCTCCCAGACACTGTTCAGAGAGGTGTACTGTTTTCCCTCCTTGTAAATCTCACATTTGATGATGGACCACAGGTTCTCAATGGGGTTCAGATCAGGTGAACAAGGAGGCCATGTCATTAGTTTTTCTTCTTTTATACCCTTTCTTGCCAGCCACGCTGTGGAGTACTTGGACGCGTGTGATGGAGCATTGTCCTGCATGAAAATCATGTTTTTCTTGAAGGATGCAGACTTCTTCCTGTACCACTGCTTGAAGAAGGTGTCTTCCAGAAACTGGCAGTAGGACTGGGAGTTGAGCTTGACTCCATCCTCAACCCGAAAAGGCCCCACAAGCTCATCTTTGATGATACCAGCCCAAACCAGTACTCCACCTCCACCTTGCTGGCGTCTGAGTCGGACTGGAGCTCTCTGCCCTTTACCAATCCAGCCACGGGCCCATCCATCTGGCCCATCAAGACTCACTCTCATTTCATCAGTCCATAAAACCTTAGAAAAACCAGTCTTGAGATATTTCTTGGCCCAGTCTTGACGTTTCAGCTTGTGTGTCTTGTTCAGTGGTGGTCGTCTTTCAGCCTTTCTTACCTTGGCCATGTCTCTGAGTATTGCACACCTTGTGCTTTTGGGCACTCCAGTGATGTTGCAGCTCTGAAATATGGCCAAACTGGTGGCAAGTGGCATCTTGGCAGCTGCACGCTTGACTTTTCTCAGTTCATGGGCAGTTATTTTGCGCCTTGGTTTTTCCACACGCTTCTTGCGACCCTGTTGACTATTTTGAATGAAACGCTTGATTGTTCGATGATCACGCTTCAGAAGCTTTGCAATTTTGAGACTGCTGCATCCCTCTGCAAGATATCTCACTATTTTTGACTTTTCTGAGCCTGTCAAGTCCTTCTTTTGACCCATTTTGCCAAAGGAAAGGACGTTGCCTAATAATTATGCACACCTGATATAGGGTGTTGATGTCATTAGACCACACCCCTTCTCATTACAGAGATGCACATCACCTAATATGCTTAATTGGTAGTAGGCTTTCGAGCCTATACAGCTTGGAGTAAGACAACATGCATGAAGAGGATGATGTGGACAAAATACTCATTTGCCTAATAATTCTGCACTCCCTGTATGTTACTCCACCTCCATACCATCAAAGATACTGTGTCATGGTCCTGGGTCCTTTTGACAAAGTGTTTTGAGCTCTTTTGTATTTTTGTCACTTGGTGTTATTATTTGTGTTTTACGTCCACTGTGTTTATTCTATAATTGGTTGTTCTGCTTTGCTTTTTGATTATTAGATTCCCCTGTGTCTTTACCCCCTGTGTCTCCCTCTGTGTTTGTTTCTTTGTGTGAGTCCAGGCCGTCTGCCTGTGCTCTCCCTTGTGTTCCCTCGTTCCCACCTGCCTCTCCTCCACTCCCATATCATGTTTCCTGTTTTACTGTGAAGGTTCCGTGTTTTTTCTGTTCAGTCTAGCTTCCCCTGTCTCGTTATGGTTATTCGTATCAGCTGTACTCCTCGTGTGTTCTCACTTCCTTGTCATCCCTCTGTGGATTTAGGTAAGTGTCCTCCCTCATAGCTGTGTGACTCTCCCTGTGTCTCCCCATGAGTTTATATTCTTAGGTTGTCGCAGTTTAGTTTATTTCTATTTGTATCACCTCTACACCTGCAATAAAGCAGTGTATTTGAGTTCACATTTTTCATCTCTGTGAGTTTCCGTTTGGGTCCTTTTCCTTCCCTCACACAGCCGTTTTGTGACATACTGTTTTTAAAAACATAGGTCATAAAAAGCCAGATGGTAACACTCTCACTGGACACTTTATTAGGTACACCTTGAGAGTAACAGGGAAGACTTCAGTGCTGCTTTAAATCTTTGCTGTTAATTTTTTATTATAATGTTGTGATGTTATTTGAGTTACTGTTTCCTTCCTATCAACTCGAAGCAGTCTGGCCATTCTCCTCTGACCTCTGACATCAAGAAGACGTTTTCATGCAGAGAATTGGATATTTTCTCTTTTTCAGTCCATTCTCTGTAATCCCTAGAGATGGTTGTGTGGGAAAATAAATAAATTAAAGCAGCTCAAATTTATTTTTCATTCTGATGCTCAGTTTGAACTTCAGAAGATCCTCTTGACCATGTCTAAATGGTTAGTGGCATGTGATTGGTTGATTATCTTTATGTATTAATAAGCTTAAACAGGTGTACCTAATATAGTGGCCAGAGATTGTTTGTCTGTGTGGTTCGGTCATACAAAATTTTAAATTCCTTGTGGAATCCATGGAAACTGCGTCTCGTTTGCACACAGATAAAAAAAACCCTCAACATCATGTTTTAGATTATTCACCAGTCATTGCATTCTGCTTTCATTTACATTGTACACAAATACCCAGACTGGTTTAGAAACAGGCCTGTAGCATATTTCTTTTATAACACAGTGTCATAGTCAGACATAGCAATCAAAAAGAAAAACATATAAACAAAAATATTAATTTAATGTGGTTTTACCTACATAACAGAAAGGACTGTATGAATTGGGGCAACTGCCATAAAATCAATGTTTGTTTTTTTGGGGGTTTTTTTTGTAGAACTAGTTTATGATGATTGAATGATTGATGTGTCCAAACAACAAACACTGAATTTTAATTTAGCAGTGGGCTCAGTGTTTCATGTTTACTCCATGATGGATCTCGTGTATGCTGTAGACTGGACATAGCTAACATAGTACATAATGGATGAATTATTAACAGATTTAAAGAGAAAAGAAATAAAATACATGACATGGCGAAGATTACGTTGATTAGAGGTTTTGAATAAGGGTTATGTATTACTTAATGTCCAACCCTATGTGGTACATTCCCACTGTTTACAATAAGTAGCCTATCGTATATCAGAAATTGACAGATTTTTTTTTCTTTCCCTCTTTCAGAGCTCTAGAAACTCAAACATAAATGGTCTTGAGAAGACTTTCAGGATAGATGTTTTCCTGCTGTTTTTCCTGAGAGACAACTGTAAAGCATACACAATTTTTGAAAAACAACTGTCGTCAATCGGCTGCACAGTGGAGCTAAATTTCGATGAAGAGGAGGTTTTGGTTAGAGGAGAGGTTGACAAGGGGCCAGGAGGTGGTTTTGGTGGCGCTGCAGAGAAATGGGAGTGCCAAGTGGATCGGGTCTTTATTCGGCTTACCGAGACCTACCTCTGCTATCATGTGCTTGAGCCAAAACTGGTGAAAATGATACTGCAGGACTCGGCCTTTAAGACAGATGATATCAAAGTTTACACAGAGAGTGGCTATGCTGTGGTTGTGGGAGAGGTTGATGCCGTGAAGGAGAAGATTGCAATTCTGGAAAAAAGCCTACCCACCAAAAAGGAAATGCCAATTGTGGAGAGGAACTTCAAGCTCATAGAAGAAGAGTTCAATCGAGAAATGCGTGCTAATTGTCCAAAGGTTACAATCATCAGAGGTAGTGCCATGATCACTTTGGAGGGCCCTGACAAAGAGGTGCAGTCAGGAGCTGCAAAACTGGTTGAACTGATTAAGAACATAAAGGAGAAGAGCATTAAGTTCCCTACAGCTCTGCTAACCTTCATGAAGACCAGTGATGCCATCCCAAAATACCAAACTCGCTTCCAGCAAAGGCTCAGAAACCCTGTTTTCTTTGAGGTGGGTGCAGATCTGGTTCTGTCCAGTTTGTCCTCTGATGCTTTAAATATGGCCGAGGCAGCAGTGATGAGAGACTTTAAAGTGACCACTGTACAGCTGCAGGGTGCAATAGATCTCAACAGGTTGAAAGAAATTCTGATGAAAGCCAAGAACGAGGCAAACAGTAGAGAGTTCAGAATGGACATCAGCTACATGCCAGGCGCCAGTGGAACCTCAACAACCAAAGTCCAACTGGTGGGCTACAGTGAAAATGTGGCCAAGCTCAATGAAGTTCTTCATGACTTCCAGTTGAATCAAGTTTCAACTCAAGAAACCATCAATCTGCTTCATCCTGAAATGGTCGACTGTTTTAATAAAATCTTAGACTTGATTGGCATGAAGCAGACCAAGGTGACCTTACAAGCCTCACATTTTCCAAATCCTTGTGTGTTTGTGTCTGGTCCTCGATGTCATGTTCAGGAGGCCAAGGAGGCCCTAACATCAACTCTGGACAGTGTTATAGTAGACACTTTGACTCTAGATGGACCAGGGGCTCAGCAGTACTTCCAGGAAGAGGGTAAAGTGACTAAAGAGCTGATAGAGGGTTCCTGTCACGTCATTATCCGAGAGAAGCAAACTGCAGCCACCCGAAACGTGCAAAGACCACGAAACACCAGCAGACTCAGCGACACACCTAGATCTCTCAGCTACAGCAGCAGCATGTACAGCACAGTTGGAAACTCTGCAATCAACAGAACAAACCTGAAGATCAAACTCAGCAGTTTAGAAAATGAACAGGTTTGATTATTTCCATTCAATTCTATTTCCCATAATCCCAAAATAAAATATCAACATTCATGTTATTCAATATTATTTCTGCAGGCGGATGTTCTGGTGGTCCCCATGCTCAACAAACAGCTGACTTCTACAAATATTGGCAAAAGTTTGTTGGCCAAAGCTGGGAATATATTAAAGTTAATGTTTGATTCAGTCTTAGCCAGTTGTGCCCTCGCCCCTGGTGATGTTCAGCTGGTTGATGCACCTCCATCTCTGGGCTGCTCCAAGATTTTCTTCATTGAGTGCTTGCCTTGGGACGGAGTAAGAGGAAAGAGTGTTCAGGTAAAATTAAGGACTTTCATTAACACTTCTGGTGATGGATAAGTGCTAATTCATCTTTAATTTACCTTCAGAAAACCATTGAAATGCACTTTATAGCTGTACATAGATGAAAGTATTAATTTGAATAATCAGATGATATCTAAGCATGTATGCTCAAAACTAGAGGAACAGACAAAAGAAAAGATAATAAAATATTTAACTGAAAAGTAAAAGCATTAACACACAAACTAGTCAATTAACTGTACCTATAACTGCAAGGGAGGATTTATCCTCCAAAGCCTCACAGTTTTCCATGTGTGCTCTGTTAGTTGCAGTGTGCAATCCAAGAGTTTGAAAACATAGTTTAAAAATATGTAACTTTTGATTTGCAGGCTCTTGGTAACTGTCTGAAGAAGTGTCTGGAGCTTTGTGCACAGCTGAATTTGGGTTCAGTGGCCATTCCAATCATTGGGCCAGGAATTGTTTTAAAATACCCGCTGAGAGAAGCTATTCAAGTGTTGACCGACATCATTCACCAGTTTGGATTATCTGCATCCTCTGGATCTCTTACAAACATCCACATTGTCATTAAACCTGGCTACCCTGATTCTGAGGAGGTCAGTGTCAGTTGATATGTCCTGTATGCGATCTGTAACATGCAGGAATCAATTATCTATCATGTTATTCTTGTGTTTTTATCTACAGTGCTACCACGATGTCTACAAACAGCTCAGCTTAAATATGAACCAGGGAGGCCAAGGTAAACTAGCACTACTCAGACTGTCTTCATTATGTGAGATTAATGCATAGTGAGCAGATAAAAAGCATTCAGCCAGTGTTATATTTTACCATCTTCGTTATCACCCTCAGCCATCAGACTAAATATCAGACAAAATCAATGTGTGGTGTTCTTCCTCTCAGCAATCTTCAGGTCCCTCACCAGCGACCTAGATGACATCATCATGACAGTGGGAAGTGGAGTTAAACTACATGTGGTGTTTGGTGACATCACTAATGAGACTACAGATGCTGTGGTGAACATAACAGACTCCCAAAGTTTTAACTTTGGTAAGTAACCTTGGTGAGCAGGAGGATCACTATGGCAAAGTCAAACAGCTGTTCATGAATATCTGCTCAAAAATGGGGATGCCCATATGAATATAATCTTTGAGGATCAAAGTTTTCATCTAGCATTATCAGCAGGTCACTTACATTAGCTAAAAACCTCAGCATATAATTACGAAGAGCTTAACAGATAGTCATGGTTGAACATCATAAGTATTAGAAAGCCACTAATTTCTAATGTATATGGAGCTGTAAAACTAGATAATTTCTTATATTTTGGATCTCATACCTATCATGGTTATAGTTTCACATAATGAAATCTAGTGCAAATTAGGCACATTCAGCAGGACCAGGCTTAGTGGATGGCAAAATGTAAAACTCTCAGGCGTAGGTGATGGAAAGCAATCAAACTGTAACACAGACAAGTGACTCAGTGACAGTCTGGCAGGGAACAGAGATGAACAGGTGAACTGGTACGCTGCCTGTGGTGTCAACTCAGCATGAGAAATGTTTGATCTTCAGCCAAGCAGGTTTGGCAGGGATTAGCCTTTGACTTACCTTTGAGTACCATTTCCTATAAATGCATTTAGATTGATTTGGGAATATAGGGTTGATGAGTAACTATTCAGGAAACGTATCCAACTGTGACACAAATTGGAACTTAAGATGAAACTGTGGCATTATTATTGTTGTTGCTATTTCCAAAGCTGTACTTACTAATTAAATACATTTATTAAATATATTTAACCAATAGGCATTAGACATTCATTTTACTAAGATTATCTTACTCTTTTTGAAACCCCAGTTTTTCTTTTAATGTTACCATAAGATTGGCATTTGTGATTTTTATTACATGCTAACAAATCAAAATGTATTTGTTACTCAACTGTGCAACTGACCCTAAACATTACAGTAGCAAAATTTGGCATGTTACTAACAAAATCAGTGCGCTCCAGGGTAGCTGTGGCTACAATGTAGCTTGCCATCACCGGTGTGTGAATGGGTGGATGACTGAATGTAGTGTAAAGCGCTTTGAGGTCCATAGGGACTAAGTAAAGCGCTATACAAATACAGGCCATTTACCATTTTTTACCATTTACCAAAATAGATGGCAATAGTTATGTAAAGGTTGGTAACCTCCATCATCAGAATCATCAGTCCTGGTGCTGATTAGCTGTTTTAGCATGCTAAAACTAGCACAAGATTAGCATGTAGCACAAACTTGCCTTCACTGACATACTTTAAAATATATTTTTCTTCTTCTATATGTGGCTTATGCAAAGACATCTCAACTTTAGCTGAACCACAGGTGGCAGCAACAGTGAATCGAGGAGAAATTTTCATGACCCAGTCTGGAAACTTCCCCAGTAAAGCTATTTTACACGTGCATGGAGAACAGGATGAAGTCCTCATTGAACAACTTGTGTGTGATATCATTTGTTACTGTGAATCACATGAATACAGTTCAGTGGCAATTCCTGCCATGTGTGCTGGTAAGTATTTTGTTCAGCATTTCTACTTATTCTGTTTGTTGTGCTACACACACACACACCTAAGAGGAAGGGGTGTTTTTGCAGGAGCTGGAGGTTTGGATCCTGCGATTGTAGCAGGAGCCATTTTTCGAGGAATCGAGTCATCTGCATCATTCATGAACAGCCTCACCAACATCCGCCTCGTCCTGATTAAGATCGATGTCTTCTTGACTTTTAAAGAGGAAGCGATGCAGATGTATTCCTCAGCTGTCATCAACAGAGGTGACAGAAATATTCACAAACTGACATTTTGTGTAGTTATTTAGTGTAATGAATTTTAAAATAAAAACTGATTCAAAATTATTTTACTGAAAACTTTTCCTGATTTGTTCTAGTACTTCCAGTACTTCCAGTACTTCCAGTTCAAGTACAGCAACAACAGCCTCCTCTTTCTGTCAGTGCATACCTCAGCAGTCTCCATATCAGCTCTACAAGTCAGCAGTCTGTCTTCACGTTCCTGGGTCTTTCCAAAAAGGACGTTGACGATGCCATGGAAAAGCTGAAGCATCAATATCACACACAGTACTCCAGTAACACCTTCTCAAAGGAGGAACTGGAACCCCTCGACCAGGATGACATGATGGAGCTAAAGGAGCTGGTGGAGTCTGAGGGTTTATTCATGCAAACAGATCAGTCTGGCGCCCTAACAGTGAGCGGGCTAAAAGACGGGGTCACCCGAGTGATGCAGAAAATGAATCAGTGTCAATTAATGGCTCTTGCTAATGAGGTGAGAGTCAGGGAGGAGGAGGATTTGTACCTCCGAGTTGTTTGGTGCATCCTGGCACATAACGGTAACTGGGAAAGACTTCCCAGAACAGCCAATCACCAACTGGAAAACAACGAATTAACAGAAGGAATAACAGACGCACAGGGACTCACATGGGAGGTTAATCTACAGAGAATGGTGGCCACACAGCAACTGAACAGACAGACAACGAAGCTGAAACGACTTGAGAATCTCGCAGGTGAGAAGATAGTTCTCAATGATTTACAAAATGAGCCCGACTGATACTGGAGTTTGATGCTTGAGAGTAATACAAACTCAAAAGAAACAAATGTTAAAGTGTATAAGATGTAATGAAAGGATGGAGTACAAATAGAAATGCATAATATATCGCAACCTGCCGCACCTGTAAGAAAAACAATCATACAACACCTCGAACACAAAACTTTAAAAATGCACAGCTACATAAATATCTGTGTGTGCATGTGTGTGTGACAGACAGAGAGAGAGAGAGTGAGAGAGAAGAGTATGTGTATGCGTCTTTGTCACGAAATATACATGAAAATGAGTGCGGGAAGCTGCAATAACACCTCTCAGGAGCCAGAGCATGATAGAGATGGATCCAGGAGAACCATTTGAAGCCCCCAAGAGTACCAAAGACCTGAGGCCACACATCTCAGTGATATCTGTGCCTCCATGCCAGCAGGAGAAGAAAGGAGGCCCTTAAATGGGCAGCTCAGAGCCAAGGGGTGGGAGTCCCAGAGGGCTAGAGGCAACAGGCAACCGACCCTCCTAGACTTTGGCCACCCTAGTGTGAGCCAAGCTCAAATTCCCGGGCTCAAGGTGCCAAAGAATTGCCCAGTAGCTGGCAGACGTGTGTGGGTTTGTGAAACAGGGGTCTAGGAAGATGGCTCTACCCACTGTGACCTACGCTACCCACAACCCTCCATCAAGACACTACATCTATGGTTGATGCATTGTATGAGGGAATGAGAATTTACTACAAGAATTTGTAGTAAATGGCAAATAATAAAGCTTAGCATAAGCTCTTTCTGTGTCTTCTCGTTTGTACGCTGTATAAACTATATATGCTTGTCTCTTTCAGACTTTACTTTCCCTCTGTACTGGGACAGCATGGCTGCCAGTGAAAATATGACGGTCATTCCCCTGGAGTCTTCTTCTGCAGAGTACCGAACAGTGAAGGAGGCCTTCAAACGAACCGTCGCCAAAACTGTAATGAAGGTGGGTGGCTCTCCCTGCGTAAAGGAACGTTTCAGTTTCTACTTTTTATTACCTGTTTTATTATATGCATGCTGCTTCATCACTACTTTATTCTTTTGTAGTCAGTACAACCAATGATATTAAATGTTATTAATGAAGTGTAAAGTGTAAAAAATATTTCTGTTTTTATTTGCTTTAATATTTATGTATATTTAGGTATATTATTTACAGTAATTCCCATTATTTATTTATTTATTCATTTATTTATTTATTATTGCTTCCTTTTTATGACATATCCTATCATAAATTCTACCTCGAAGTTTGTTCCGTGTATTTGGTTTTGTAACCCCAGTAACATGCCCAGAGATATATACATACATATACACACATACTGATGCAAATATACATGTGCACACACATACATATTTATAAACACAGTGTTTGTGTAAAAAGCGAGTGCAAACCGTATCTTTGTAGTGGTCATGCTGGGACATTGTTTCAGTTCCTCACTCAGTCTGTTCCAGTGCTTCACTCCCAACATAGATGCAAAAACTTCATTTATCAGTAAATAAAGGATATTTAACTAATAAATTTATAGATAAAATGGAAGAGTAAAAAAATCACAATGTAATTCCAAGTTACAAGAAATCAGTCAATGTCACATTATATAAACAAACTAAATTCACCATTTGAAAGATATGATTTATTTAATTAAATTGTATTTATTTATTTTTTAATTGTATTCATTCATTCTGGATTTTAGTTTTAGTTTCATATAGCTGAAGTCCACTGAATTGATGATGACATAATTTTCTCATTCACAATACAAAGAAAGTTTCAATACAGTTGTAAAACCTGCCTGAAAATCATCATGTTTTCAGTTTTGCAGATTTGCAGATTTAAGGTAATTAATTGATCGACGTTTACAACACAGAATCTTCTCATACCTGAGATGCACACCTCAATTTATGGCCCTCAGAATATAAGCATAAAACTACCCCTCAGATGTAATTAATATCCTTGACTACCTTGTTTGGCAGCTTGTTGATCCTTTGTCCTTCTTCTCTCTTGTCAGATTGACCGTTTGCAGAACGTTCACCTGCGTCGCGCCTATGAAGCACAGAAGAAGCACATTTCTGATAAGAATGCACAGGAGGGAGGAGCAGGGGAGAAACTTCTGTACCACGGGACGACCCAGGACAATTGTGACTCCATAATGAAAACTGGATTCAACAGGCGCTTTGCTGGGCAAAATGGTGATAATCTTTTTATAATCCACAAGTGCAAACTGTCAGTGCCAATAACTTGCATAACATGTTCTAACCAAAGTCAACACCAGAGTCTTCTTAGAGTTGCAGGTTTTCTGTTGCAGGGCAAAATAAAAGTAACCTTGTCATTAGCAGTCTAGTCTAAAAATTAACTAAATAAAACCTCAGATGATAGGAAAACGTGGTATATTAAGTTTCATTATTCGTTTAACAAAAATTAAGCTAAAAGGAGGAAGCAGTGTATGAAAGCCAAAGTGTCCCCTTAATGCTTACATGTGTGTGAGCATCTTTATAAAAACAGAAGTTTTGGCACTACTACTGGTCGAGAGCATTCAGGTGTGTGTCAACACAATACCACAATCTTCCTAGGAGTGGACGTCCCAGCAAACTTGCCCCAAGATCAAGATCTTGCAATGCTCAGAGAAATTGCAAAACACCCAAGAGCTACATCTCAGACTCAGCAGGTGTCGTTAGCATGTTAAATGTTAAAGTTTATGACTGTACAACTAAAAACAGACTGTCTGTTGACTGTGTGTTGTTTGTAAGGGTTGCTTCTTTTTTTCTTTTTCTTTTTTGCAACCACAAGTCAACATGAGCACCTCTGTTCTAGAGAGTCTAATGTGAGGCTGACAGCTAAAAAAAATCCAATACTGGATTACGTAACAGCACAATGATTTCAAGCATAGCAGCAAATCTACAACACAATAGCTGCAAAGGCTGCAATGGCCCAGTGTCCTTGCTCAAATGATGTGGTGGGACCTTAAGAGAGCTGTGCATAAATGAATGCCTGCAAACCTTAATGAACTGAAGCAACGCGCTAAAGAAGAGTGGGCCGAAATGTCACCAGAACAATGTGTGAGACTGATAAAGCCACACAGGAAATGATTACTTAAAGTTATTGCTGCTAAAGATGATTTAATTATTAAGGTATTGAGTTTCGGGTTTTTTGGGGGATTTTTTTACCCCATCAGTCCATCGAGCGGGCATTGGTTGGCATAAGTGACCAACTTTGCAAACAAAATAACACAAAACAAGGCAACATAGGATTTTCAAATCGATACCATAGGTGTCTCTAATAAAGATCTTGTTTGAGTTCAAATCTCATTAGCCTTGACCTCAAGGTCAGCACCCCTGCTTCAATCTTTTTTAGGGTGACATTCAGTTTTTTCACAGTTTGCATTCAGTGAATTTTCATAATGGTAATAAGTATTTTCCTGTTATATGAGTGTAAGTATAACTGTATGGATTTTCAGGCCAGGGCACAACTTGATACGAGAATGGTTAAAAGATGATCCCCGCTTCAGAGAATTAACTCTAATAGTGCATCGATTTAAGTTTTTATTATAGTATTTGTTACTAATTACAAATGAGGAGAGTTAATGTGTTTAAATAGACCTTTGACAAGTAACAGGCAATCCAGTATAACCACTGCTTGTTCCTGTATACTGTCAGGACAATGCAGGTAAAAATACACTGTGATTATGAGAGCATTCATATATTAAGGCTGAATAAATTATTTTCTCTTCTGGTGACTTTGGTGTTTCAAGGGTGACATGAAAGGCAAGGCTTTGTTGTTGTTTTTTTAAATCTTGTTAAGCATTTGTGGCTTTCGTGACACATAAAACCTTGGGTTTAAGTGATTGTGGAGGTGTTTTCAGGTCTAGTACAATAACAGCGCTTGATTCCTTATTGGGCTGAAAGGAAAGATTTTCATGTTCCTGCATGCACTAATAAAACATGTCAATTACAATCAACAGTGTAGTTAAAACACCTGGTGGAAGATAGTAAAGTAGCAGTACATGTAACAAAGGAGGGTTTAGTGAACTAGTAATTCTGTGTTCTACAGCTTGTACTTCCAGGGTATTTGTGACACCTAAAGAATCTACTGCTAGAAGGCTGAGGGGTATCATGTGATTTATATTTCAAGACACTACAGTGTAAATGTGATCAGCTATTGTTAATTTTCTTTTTCTTTTCTTCCTACCCTCAGCAACTTCATACGGTCGCGGGACCTACTTTGCTGTAAATGCCAACTACTCGGCTCAACCCACCTACTCCAAGCCAGCTGCTGATGGTTCTCAGTTAATGTTCGTCGCCCGAGTCCTCACAGGCGTCTGCACTCATGGCCGACATGATATGAAGGTGCCTCCACCTAGAAACCACCAGCAGCCTCACGACCGCTATGACAGTGTGGTAGACAGAATAGATAACCCCAGCATGTATGTTGTGTTTCATGACAACCAAGCGTACCCTGACTACCTCATCACATTCAAGTGAGAATAAAGGAAAAGTTTTTTCCACTGTTTACAAACGAAGGTGTCTGAAAAATCCAAAAAGAAAAATAATAAAACTAATATGCACATTTCACACTACAGTTATATACAGTGAAATTTCAAGTTTGAATTACAGAATTATGTCTGATTTTAAGCTTAATTATTGACCTGTCACTGAATTAGAAAAGTTACATATGTGTACATAAACACTGGAAACATGTTACACAATCATGCAGTTTTTAATCTTTGATTTGGTTGACATTTGCATCTTACATCTTCACTTTGTAAAGTGTAAAGCACTTTGAATCACATCTAATTAGTCCAAGAACATGTCACAATACTCTAATAAAGATTTACTGTATGATTGCCTGGTACATTCGTAAACTGTGACATTTCATTTGAATTGTGGTGACATTATGCAAACAACATCTAAAAAATATTTTAATTCATAATCAAGTAACTGTTAAACATAGTAAACCATCTGGTAGAAGAGTTTAAAAAGTTAACTGTGTTAAAATGAGAGTTAAAAACATGAGTGAAGAGAGAAAAGCTCCAGTGGGATGATAATCTTTCTTGTCTGTGGCATTTTTGTCCACAGCTAAATGTGTTTTACAAGAAAAGGGCTCTATATGTTTCCTTTGGAGTTCATTTACTACAAAACTGAATCTGTTATATATATCCGGTCATTAAGTCTGACGTCACTAGCCGTGTCTGGGTCTAAACTCCGCTGCAGGTCCATATATCAAACGATCACTATGGCATTACTGAGAGTTGAAAAACTGTCTAAAGTCTTTCATCTTTAATAAAATGATCAGCGTTCTGCTCTACCAGGTGTAACAATTGAGTTTAACATCCAGGCATCCATGAAAACGGAATTTATGACATTTAACGGAGTTAGAAGTTAGCAGGGAGTTAGCTCGCTAGCTTCTATCTAAATACAATATAGCATGTCCTGACTGCGGGGTTTTGGAAACAAATTAAAACGTACAGCTCTGCTATCACTTCCACATAAATGAAGACAGAAAACTAAACAGCAGTGACGTTTGTAGGGTTACTGAAGTTGGGCTAGCTGGTATATAATGATGTGCTACGTGACCGCTAGCGACACAGCTATGTTAGCATAATATAAACAAGCTAAAGACAGCTTTTCTTTGCAACCCACTCGGACCTGAATGAACTTAAGACTAACTAACTTTCTTCGATAAGTAAGTGATGTCTCGGTGGTCAGGAACAAATGTAATCGCATGGCAGGATGCTGTAAAAGGACCAAACTTCAGCCAGGAGAACAACTGAGATAATCCATCCACAATACGAGGTTAGTCATTGAAGGATATAAAAAAAACAACAACAATAGAATAATATTAAACACAGAGTGAACCCGTCTTCCTTCATTAAATAGGTTCTTTTAGATGTTAAGGAGGAATTGACTTAACCAGGCTGGCGGAGAATGAAGACAACAGGACACCTGCAGATGGGGAATCAGTGAACTTTATTGAGACAGAGACAACCTCTCAACAACAGCTCACATCAGGAGATTCCAAAGATTTGCTGTGAGGATGGGTATATATTCTCTAAAACTTACAGGGGGAAGTGCTGCACTAGCAGAAAAACAACTCCATAAAAGGAAATCTAGCCTCTTCGGCGTGTAGATATCTTGCACCTGCAGGATGAGGCGATCGCTTCTTATCGCTCTCAAGGCCAAAGTCGTGAGCACATTTTTATTACACAGTTTGCACAGTAACTTTAAAGCTGAACAATGTTTAAACAGATTATATTTTCTTCATCATTCATATACTGCTGCATGGGCTGGGCTGTAGCTACATCCTAAGGTTTTAAAAACTGAGCTTAAATAAATGATTAGCGGTAATAAAAGCTGAGGGAGGTCAACAGTGATCACTGACTGTTTTAGGAGCTTTTTGAGATCAAATAGAAGAAAATACAAAACATTAAACATGTTAACAACACAAAAGCCATATTAAACGCAGACTACTTTAGGCCCGGAATTAGGATTTGTCACGTCATCACTTAACAACCGGATTATATTATATAAAATATAAGCCATTTAGCAGCTAGCTATTAATTTGACTACTATCTGTGCAGCATTTGAAAACAATATCAGCAATGCTGAAGCTATGTAGCTGAAAAACTGTAGTTGCATAACAATGATATAGGCCTATATGTGGTAAAAGAATAACTGAGGCTAAATAATGCTGGGCGTTTGTGAACGTAGCAATTCTCAGGGGCTGATGGTGACAGACGCCTGGCCTTGGACCTGCCGGAGAGCAGGACAGTCCAGAGTGGCGATCACCCTGCTTGTCCCGGCCCTCTGTGGAGTGAAATACTCAGTCCAGGTCAGAGAAGAGCCTCCTATGACCAACCTGAGAAAAGACAAACACGTCAAAAATATTAAAGCAAGACGCAGAAACCTTTGAAATAGGTGGGTTTTTTTCCTTTTGCTACTATTTGGAGGTTATAAAATCTCATCCAAAGGAATAAGATGAAACTGAAACCAGTTTTTGGTTTTATGTAGAAATATTTTATACAAACAGTTGTTCATGATCACTCACCTGTAATACCTGGACTTTGGCTCCATCATCCCAGGTCCTTCCATGCGAATGTAGACATTCTCCAGGTTGAAGCTGAAGGGGTTTGTGAACTCCACAGTTGCTATCATCTCTTCACTCACTTTGCCTCTACCAGACACCTGAAGTACACACAGGAAATGTAAAAAATCTACCCCCAAAATCCAACTTTGTATATGATAAACAGTTGCTGGATAGGACATCAAACATGTAATGAAAGCAAAGTAAACTGCCCGAGTGCAACCAGGTTTGTCTTTAATGTGATGTAGGATGCACACTGCAACTGAAGAAACACCAGCAAAGAGAAAAATGCTGCAAAAGCACACAAAACACATCAGAAATAGAAAAAAAACTCTAAGAACAAAAAATAAATAAATTGTGAAACAAAGTGTTTCTGGGGACAAGATAAAATGACGGACGAACTGCAGCAGTGAAGAAACATGCAGTGTTACACTGAGGCACACTTAAAAGAAGCAGAGTGTTCATCATTGTCGAGAGGAAAGAAAGGATACAGGTATCGTGTGTTTTAACCACACGAGTCATATGTTTGCTATTAGCCGTTTACTGTTAGCTTGTCACTTTCACAGCTGTTCCATGACATAATTGTGAAACACTTCATTTTGTTTTATTTATGTATTTATTTATTTATTTTTGGATTTTGTGGTATTTCTTTGTTTTACTTCTGTTGTATTTTATTCAATTTCCATTGTGTTTGTGTGCTTTTCCAGCATTTTTCTATTTGCTAGCGTTTCCTTAAGACGCAGTGCGTTTGATCTCTCGGGGGCCACCACAAGGAATCATTTCAGACCTCGATGATGAGTTTGGGGTTGCGCAGGGTGATGACTTTCATTGCGGTGATGATTTGACCGGTCTCTCTGATCTTCCCCGTAACAATGAAGTGGAGGTTAGCTTGTTCCACCAGACGCTTCATGTATTTCTTCGACTCCACAATCGCCACCTCCTTCTTATCTGTTAAATATAAAAATATTTCTACTTTGATGTGTGTATATTTCCTTAAATCAAAGTTAGAGATAAGATAAAAGATTAAATACTCATCGAGGCAGACATTTGTCCATAACTCAGGATTACACTGAAACAGTTGTCTACATTTGGTAATCATCTGTGGTTTTATGACTATGCCTCTTCATTTCCATGCCGTACACCTGACTCACTCATTTTGGGTTCAATCACCACCCTGGGGGTCAGGAACAGGAATTCGGTGCTGGCAACTCCAGTATAATACACCACACTCCCGCTGATGTAGGCGTCCACAGTGCGGCGCTCATCGCTCTTGTTTTCGAACTCCACGTTCAGCTCAAAGTTGTCACCCACGCTGATCTCCAGGTTGGGCAGGACCACGTCCACATCAGCCGCGGGAGGGCTGGACTTCTCTCGTTTGCAGCCGTACTCCTCTGCTTTTTCCAGGACTGTCCGCTCCTCTGTGCTGCCTGTGTTGGGCGTTTGAAAAACATTAGTGTGTTTGTATATTAACAGAATAAATTCTGACGTCCTTTTTTATTTGCTTTGCATTTTTAAAATGGTCTTGTCTCAGAATCGTCTAATCTTTGCCCAGTTTGTGATAAATGAAGCACCAGGAGTCTTTTGGTCCAGAGTACCAACTGTGGATAAAAACAATACAGCATGATGCCAAATGGAGCTGATTTCCAAATGAAAAGAACTCAAATTCACAGTGTTTTCCTAAAAACGCTGCCTAATCTGGCAACCGTATTGGAGTTCATGATGCCCGACAGCATTCAAGAGTGCCAACAATGAGCTGTTCTCCCGTTTGAACTTGCCACCTGGCATTTCAGCTCCAAGGATTTAAACACTGACTTAGAGACTGGTGGAGCAGGGTAATCCATCACTGTAAAAATGAAGCCTAACAGTGTGTTTCTGCTCAAGTGTTTCCATTTTCTTTTCTTTTTTTCATTATTTCATGATGTCAAGGTGACTGCTTTCATTTTGCACATTTTAAAGCTGCTCCTTCATTTACTGTGGCATTCTGAGCTCAGGCTCCAGCACAGAAAACAGATCTGCTGCTTCCTGAAACACTGACATTTGTGTTCGATGTAGTCCCTGACCTTCAGCAAATTTGTATTGATCTGTAATGTCGCGGCGGGTCACATCTCCCGGAGATTTGGTCAGAACCAGGCGGCCTACGTGAGTTCGGTTCACTCTGACTGGCTCCATGGTCCCATCTTTCCTCCGGGAATGAAACACCACATCACTGTTAATCTGTAGAAGGAAAGAAATAGGCACTGTAAAAACAAATACTGTGTGCCTTCTGTCATCAAACTGCCTGGTTATTGGTCATAAAACACAACAACCAGCGAGCGACGTCATTAAATACAAACACATTCTCAGTAATTCTAGAAAGAGAGTAATTCAAAGGCATTCACCTCGGCAAACACGAACGCAGCGTCAAATGGGAAGCAAATCTGTCCGTGCTTGATGGCCTGGACTGACGCAGGTCCACATCTGTACATGCCTTTATGGATTACAAAGGAAAAATCAAAAAATCAGTGTGACTCAAAGCACAGAAAACATTTGCCTCTCCTTTTACATTGCTTTGACCTAACCCTACAGTATTGGAAAAACCAAGGGAGGAGATTATAGAATTCCCTAACCTTATTAATTTGGAAATCCTTGCTAAATTTTTGCTCACCATCACTGGTCTCCTGTGGTGTTGCATCCACAACCTGCCAGCCCCCAAAGCCAGGAGGGAGATCAGGTCTGGACATGTAGCACTCATTCCAGCAGTGATAGTTCCTGACAAAAAAAAGAAACAGTGGTAAATATATAATCCAGTTTAGTTTGTATCTAATAATTTAATTTAGGTATATTCTCAGAATCAATTACTTAATCTTGATTATCTGGTGCTCCTGCGAGAATACTGTAAATTTATTTCTCAGTAAATTTTGTTGCAATTCTCTGGAGAACAAAAAAATCTGATTCTGAGTACTACCATTTGAAGTGTGTTAACAGACACCTACCAACAGGAGTGCAAAACATGTAGACCAAGGCAAGTAAAGAAATCTCAGGATATCTGTTAAATGGAAAGTTTCAGTACCAGATGGAGTCCCTGGTTCTGTTTCGATCGATCTTGCCGTTTTCATCCATGATTATGTCAGTCTTCAAGTTTCCATCGTTGTCGTGAGCTGAGTAGTAG